TCTGCATCTTACTCAATCGACAATGCAGTGATTCGGCGGCTTCTTTGCTTGAATGGATATTTTTCTTTTTTTCGATGAGTTCTCTCTCTCATTTTACCGCGAGCAGCTATGCCAACAGTAGAAAAAAGCAACATCAATGAGCAGCAAGTCTTGTTGTTCGGTAAGAATAAAATGTATGTGAGTTTTGAATGGTCGAATTTCTTTCCATCACTGGGAGAACATGTTTGGATGAAAGCTTGCCGTCTTTCATACGATAACGACTTGCGGGTGTGGGTGTGAAAATGCTCTTAATTCATCCACATCTACACCCACCCACACCCACACCCACACCCCACACCCACCCACACATAATCCTATGTGAGTCAAAGACTTAAAAGTGAAAGATATCATATAAAATAGTAAACTTATTAGAACAAATAGTCAAATGCAAAGTATGATCTGATGATAAAATAAAGAGAATTTGTGATAGGGAAATATCAATCCATGAGCAATAAATTGAACAATCAATTCATGACATATTTTCAATGAAAACAATATAGAAGAATTTTGATCTCTAATTTTGAACTGTGATTGTTTTCTAACTGTCTACTTTATTGTTTATAACATAAAATTGTAATATCAATGTTTTTCAAGTATTTACATAAAGTATTCTAGTAATTACGATGTAATTTCAATGAGATTTGGAGCTTCAGAAATTCACCGATTCGCACTTGGTTATAAACTTTGAAATTTATAAAAAAATTATTTTCAGCTAGTTTGATGTCAAATCAAAAAATAATTCTTGTCTAGTCCTTACTTTTTAACAGTTTTCCACAAGGGATTGTTTATGACAATTGGTTAATGGAACTCTTCTCTGTGAAATATCATGTTTTTCTACTAGAGAAAATATCATTTTTATGATATTTGACGCTCAAAAATACGCATGAATATAAATCTGAACATATTTTGAAGATAATTCAACTGAGAAAATAACTTTTGTTGACATAATTTCAAATTTTGTTTCATTGAAAACTCTATCTATTTTTAGATCCTTTAAATTGTATGCTTAATTTTGCCCTTCAACAATGTGAAAAATATATTTTCTATGTACTAACTGTTTGTTTTGGATAGCTTGTATGCTTGAATTTGATATCAGATAGATGTTGATTCTGTATCCCGTAGTGGTTCAGCAAGTGTCGTTATTCAGAAAGATTTTTCTGAATACACTCTACATTGTACCAAATATCGAGCATCTGAGTTTTATTCTGATCATTTAGAGTGTCTTCAAGATTTTCTTTTTTCTAAATGTGTTACAAGATTTAAGCTAAATAGTCTTCATGGTATGATGGAAAAAGGTAGAAAGGAAAAATATCGAAAGAGAAAAATGTCGAAAATAAAAATATCGAAAACAAAAATAAAATAAATGTAGATGGAAAGAAATATTGTAAACGAGAGTATATTGAAGTACAAATTTCCCCTCCCTTATCTTCAATCTTAAATGTTCATCTTCACCTCATATTCTTGTTTTCGACATTTTTATTTTCGATATTTTGCCCTTTCGATATTTTTCCTTTCTGTCTTTTTCCATCCATTCTATTCAATCTGAAAGTTGTGGGAAAAACAGCAGAATGATTGTTATATGTTTCTGGAAAATGGATAAACTAATTACTACTTAAATGGCTTATCAATGACTTCTTTTCATAATTTATCCTGATTGATAAGCCTTTTCTCTTCATTAAGTTTTGGAAGACTGAAAATTCCTGAGAATGCAATTAAGAATGCACAACAAAAAGCATGAAGAAAGAGCAAAGTGAGTGTTTGAAAAATGTAGTGAAAAAGTAGGCGTGAAATGACTGTTCCCATATATATATTGTCGACATTTAATGTTCTCAACATAAAGTTGACACTTATTTCATAGGATTATATTATAATAAATGACGTCTTATGTGCATTCTAGAGACTACGAAATATCTAAAAATATATACGCGGCTACACCTTCGTTGTACTTTGAAAACTTGTCTTTTATTCATGGATCAGTAATTATATCCCCCTACCCGATGTGATCAAGAAATAAATGAAGTCGATAATAATAGTATAGAGTGTAAATCAAACACTATTTCATTAGGAAACATTTAAAAAGAATGAATTAACATCATTTTTTTTGTTTGATGTTCTTTAGGTAACATGTAAACTAGTTCTTCTAGTTCATATGAAATTATATGACGAAACATAATTTCATACGGTACTAAACTGTTTTTATTTATGAAGAATGAATTTTATTTTCTTTTATAAGTATTTCGAATAAAACGAAATGCTTGATATTTTATGTTTTACCATATCTTCCATACTAAATATGAAAAAATATAAACATCAACTAGATATATAGTCCAAGATCTAAAATAAATCAAAATATTGAAACCACATCAGTACTAATCACCAAAAAGCTAAAAATAAAATTTTCCGCAGACTTCTAATTTTGTTAATTCGTAAAATATTTCATAGAATAACACCTGAAAAAAAATATTTTACATCAATTATAGTTTTCAGTAAAGATTTGACGTTCAATTAATTATCAAAAGTAAGGAAAAGATTAAGTTTAACGTCAATTATAATTTCTAATACAGAATCTGCTTTTATATAATAATAGCAAGAAAAAAAAATCCATTTTATGTCAGTTAATATTTAGAATCCGCAACGGTTTTTTTCCATACAAACATGTCAAAAGCAAAAAGGAGAAAAAAAACTATGAACAAGTGCTTGATATAAGACTTTCATTAAAAACATTGCCAGCAGGAAAATATTGAATATTCTATAGAAAACATTGTTAGTTGAGAGTATGTCCTTCTTGACTCTTAGTTTTTGACACAGGTAAGAATCTTAGCTTTCTTATACAAGTAAACCAGGATTCATTTAATCTAACGATTACTTCAGCACTGAAATCGCTTGAGTATGAGTTGAGTTACCTTACGTGATCTGCAAGATCATTGAGAATCTGATTATTCAAAAATAAAATACTCTGTCTGAGTCAATCAGTCTCTCATTTGCATTCATATTATACAACTACTTCAGACATAGACTCTACCGAAGTTCATTATTTCATTGACAGTGGAAAATATGTTTACTGAAAACCGAGATACGAGAAAACAACCATAGTGTGGACTTGAATAGTCGATAATTCAGTTATCAATTACTGGATTAATTTTAAGCTTTCGAGATGTGTGTTTTTCACAGTTGAGCATTGTCTTCTAAAATTTTCATAAATAAGCAACTTATTAAATGAGAGTAGCATGAAAATCATCATTGAAAAATTGTTAGAAGTGCGAACACAACACTGTTGAAATAAAAACAAAATTTTTATAACAATAGAAGAGCATGAATTTGGCTGCAGTTTCATAATAAAAGAATCAATAGTCTCTCATCTATTGCTTAGAAAACTTATCTTAAATGAGTTATAATTCTTCTATACTTCAATACTACGTTGAAATCGTATTTCATTAAATATTACTTATAATATATATTTATGTCAAAGCATAGGCTTGCCAGAAAAAGAAGAAAAACATGATTTTTACAAACGGTAGAGAAAAGTTCAAATGCTCCTCATCGGATAATCTTTTTGACTTATTAGCAAGAAACAAAAAGAAACCAATAAATTTCACTCCAAAAAACTATGCAGAGTAGAACGATTTGATCCAAAGATCTACAATGATCTAATTTTAGTTCTTCTTGACTTTTGTAAAAACATGAGGAATTTGTTTTTATGAGTTTATTTAAGTAGACAATACAGGTACTTAATACAAATAAACCCTTTCTTTTGAAACAGTATTCAGTGGTAGGTGTATGTTCAATGTCAAGCTTTCTGTGGTTTTAAACTAACAGATACTCGGTAGATATTTCATAGTTCTGATATAGGTCCTAATAACTTTTTTTTCTTCTATATCTGCCATAACAGCTGCAATAAGTCCTTCATTTTTTTTTTCTGTAACCCCCCCCCCCCCCCCCCCTAAAAACAAAGAAAAAACTAGACGCCTACCCCATAATAGAAACTTGCCTCCGTAACAATAATTTTTTAACGTAATAGAAACCCGCTCCTAGTAATGTCAAAGCTGCTTAAAAATGCACGACTGTCGAGATTTTTATGTCAAGAAAATAAAAAAAAACAGAATTTTAGACAACCAAAACGAGTATGGTTTTGTGGTTTTGATTACATCCTAATTAAAATGTCGGTTTCAACCAATAAACAAAGAAGAATCACAGAATGAATTCATTTTATTTTGTAAAGTGTTATTCTTTTTTATTTTTTGATATAAAAATTCTCGAATGTCATGAATACTTTTCGGTTTTCAAGCCAGTGGACAGTATGTTAGAAAATATGTGCACCTAAAATCATGAAAAACTCGAATAGTTTCACTAATAATTTTTGTTGTCGTAAGTTGAAAGATCGTATGCTTCTCTACTTTTCAGAAGAATTTTTTGAATTCTAATTTGTGATATATAACGGGGCATTCTAAACGGAGGGATGAAAGAAAGAATCGGAGTCACTTTCGGTCTTCTAAAATCACTTTTTCTTGCTTGGGTATGTAGAAAAGTTTTCAAGAAACCTTTTAAAAATTTGACGATATTCTCTGAACATTTTTACAATTTATAAATTTTTTCTCAAAAAAAAAAGAATACAACATTTGTACAGTTTTGTTGACCCATATTTTCCCCTACCCACCTTCAGATGTTTCACTTCGAAATACGTCTGGTAGTACAGATTCAAAGTAGTATTTTTTGTTTTGTTCGTTTCTTATAATGTTAGTGAATTTTTTTCTCGATGAGAACTTTCTGTAAACCATTTCAAAAGAAAAAAAAACGGATCGCAATAGAAGCCCAGTTGGCTTCTATTCTGGATGAGTTTACTCTTCCTTTTCGTAACTCATACTTAATTAATATTTATTATTAGTGTTTTTTCTTATCAAATGTATTCAATTTTGCTTGAATGCAGGTTTTGCTCGATTCATCTATTAATTATTTATTTTAGAATGTCAGTTTCTACCCTAACTAACGTACGACTCAATATAGGTCGTTATGGTTTGTCAACTATAATTGTGCTTGGCAATATTAGTAATATTTTAACAACCCTTATATTCATACGAGTATTACGAAAACAGCTCAATTCATGTACAATGTACTTATTAGCTTCTTCAATTGCAAATATTATTTTGATTGATACTGCAGTTATTTCCTCACTTTATGGTATTGATCATCCTGACCCAATACATTTATTAGTCGCTTTCTGTAAATTGAAATTTTATGGACCACACGTGTTATTAATGCTTTCAAGAAGTTTTAGTAAATTTTAGTCGTACATAGAAAAAAGGATAATTATTTTTTTTTATTTTTTAGAAATAGCTTCCTGTATTGATCGATGGGCTTTGACTTCTTCAAATGTTAGAATTCGATCATTTTCTCAACCAAAAATTGCACGTAATGTTATCATTTTTCTTATGCTTATTTGGCCAATTATTCCAATATTCCTGGCTATCCTCTCAAATATTTATTCTGGTCGTTGTAGTCAACCTTCATATTATGCTTTTCCTATTTCAATGTATTCATTTATTTTTGTGGGATCTCTTCCACCATTATTAATGTTTTTATTTGGTTTATTAACGTGGCGTAACTTAAAAGAAATTCGATCACGAATTGCACCTGAAAATGATTCTACTCGATATCGTTTACAAAGATGTGATCGTGACTTGATGAAAATGGTAGCTGGTGAAATACTTGTCTATTTAATAACTACAATGCCTTATCCTGTTAATTCACTGTATGGTATTATCACTGCATCTATTGCACAACAAAAGAGTGAAATGCGTTTGGCTATTGAAACACTTATTTCATATATAATTAGTCAAATATTGATTTATATATATTATGTTACTCCATTTTATGGTAGAGTTTGCTTGTCAATTTTGAATTTAAGTTTTATTTATCATGATCCATGTTGTTTTGTTTTCATTTTAGTATATTCAATTAGCTCAAAGAAATTTCGAGGTGATTTCGTTCGCTTCATTCGTTGTCAATCAATGCTCTAAGTGAACGATGCGTAAAATGGAACAGAAGTTATAGCAGACCTCGATTACATGTAAAAAAAATTACATTTGAACCAAAATATCCAAAAAATTTGACGTAAACATGTAAATGTTATGAAAAAGGATTTGTACAAATAACAACAAAAATATCAGAAATAGACTAATCTGTATTTACTTCACTCAAAAATTAATGTTTTTCGTCATTATTTTTATTGTAGCAGTCAATAAAGAAAAATAACCTAAATGTGTTGATGGTATTCTATGAGAAACATATCAATTTTCTGATATTTGAGATTTACTGTCAATCATAACATATTGAAGATCTAGAAAACTACATACTTCTAAAATAAATTTTGAATTAAAACAAAAATATACTCATGTCACTATATATATTATGCTAAATTATAATTGACTTCTTTTTGCTAGTGAAAATGTGAAACATGTTTGTTAACGAAGACTAATATTGCATAAACAAAATCAAAGTTGTTCCTACTGATGTACTACTCACTTACGAATCAACATGGGTCTTTCGAGATGTTTTATATAATAAAATATAGTATGCTTCTCATTGCTCTATACATATGATAATTTTTGTCTTATCAAAGCGAAATATGAAAACCTGATGATAAAAATCTTGATTGATATTTACTGGTTTTAATAGGCGTGTAGATGGAAGCGCACAAACAAATTAAACACACATCTATGCATATCTCTAAGTACTCATATCGAAGTCATCAGTGTTTCATGAGAGTCAACATCGCTAGCATTGATAATGAGTAAACTGAAACTGTCCATCCGTATTGAATAAGTGTTGGTTTAAAATTATGATATGTCGATTCTTCTATCTCTCCTTTCATTTCTTACAGTAAGTGTATCAATAGTTAAATACATGAGTTTGATTCAATGATGATGATATTATTATGCTCGATATTTATTTTTTCTGATAGTTCTTCTGTTATAATAATAGTGTAAGGAATTATTGTACTCATTTATTATATAAAAATACGATCTACACATTGACGTCGACATCCGCCACAACATTTTTGTTCACCTTCACATTCACTATCATCATTACATCGAGCAAAACAAATGCCTCTTCCATCTGATGATGATGGACAAAGTCCTGGTTTATTAGAATTTCGTTCAGGTGGTTGTACATTATTGGGACAGCAGACAGCATAAGCATCGTTCAGTGCAATCGCGCATTGGTGTGTTGGTGGGCATTCACGATCAATGGAACCACGTCCACAAAAATAATCAACCAGTGGAGTCTCTTCTCGGTCACATGGACTTTTTGTTGCACACACATTAACTGTTCATTGGAGTCACGTTTAACACCATATTGACAATAAATCATACACATACGAAGAACCTGAAACTAATGTAGCAGATAGTGCGATGCACAAGACGAGAATAAAACTAACCAAAGTGACTCGTATCATTAGAAATAAATGATGAAATCAAAACGCGTAAATATTTTCGAGGTGCTTCATTTTTTACATGATTGATTGTCAGCTGACGAATATACCCACATCGCGTTATTTTAGAATAAAATTTGTTTTCTTTGCTTCTTGGTAAGTATTTATTTCATTTAAAAGATAGTTGTTTCACATACACGAAGACAGCCATTACAACATTGTTGCTCTTCAATATCGGTATTATGACAGAGATACTGGTTATATATACTGAAGTTGGGAGAATACCATTAGTCTTTGCTTAAAATTTTAAGAAGCCTATATAATGGAAGCATTGCTCAGAGTAACATCTATTGATACGATTTATAAAAAACAAGTAACAGCAAATATCAATTTACATGTTTCTTATTGATTGAAATGGACTGTATTCAAAAAGAAATCGAAATGAAAGACCATTGTTGATGCACAAGAAAAAACTGAAGATTGTCGAGCAATGTTTTGTGAATTGTTGACTTCTACTAATTTCGATAGATTGAAGTTAATTTCGAGACTCTATGTACTTTGAAACGATTTTCGACTGATTTAAATACTTGCAGTCGATTATCAAACATCTGTTAATCAATTATACTTGGATATTTTTAGTGATGGTCAGATTCCAAGGTGTATTATGGAAAACATGAAACACAATTAATTTATTATGAATTAAATCGAAATCTAACGAAGTGCTATAATAAACATAATAAACACTTTCTAGTATTTTTTTTACTGAATTCCCCAATGAAATTAAGTAATTCTTTTGATATTTTTATGTCCATCTTTTGATTTCAAAGAAAATTGATGCCTATTCGACTAAATTGTTTTCAAGAAATGATAAATACATTTTATTTGGAAGTTTTGAACAAAAGAAATAATATCATATTCTACTATATATATTTCATGGGATTGATCAATAATGATAATATGGGTGTGGGTGTGGGTGGATGTGGGTGTGGGTGTGGGTGTGGATGTGGATGTGGATAATCTCTCCAAACATCCACACCCACACCCCACACCCACACCCACACCCCACACCCACACCCACACCCACACACCCCACACCCCACCCTGCAGGGAGTTCTCAATTTGGGTGGGTGTGGGTAGGTGGGGTAGGATGGGTGTGCGTGTGGGTGTGGGAGTGTGGTTGTGAAGGTGTTGGTGTGGGTGTGGGCGTGGATGTGGAGTGTGTGGGTGTGGATGGGGTGGGGTGGGGATGTAGCGAAAATAAAAGTCATATAGACATGCACGCCAACATCTTATACCCACTTCACACACACATCCACACTCCACACCCACACTCACACCCACACCCTCTCTGTGTTTCATTATTTTAGTTATATGCTTTTTTTTGCAATTCCTGAAAACTATACAGATGTTCAACTGATCGAATATCAGTGCACGTTATAAATTCTATTATTTCTAAATCAACTGTTGTTAAATTAATTATTCGTTCATAAAAATTTATTTGGTCATATGAATGAAATTCATCTTTTGCTAAAGTATAAAAGGAAAAGAATATTTTGAACATTTTAGATATTTGAATAAATGTATTTCGGACTATAAAAGTGATGTTATTTTTTTTATGACAAAGAACAAATACGAGGTACCATCAAGAACGTTCAGTGGTAAAAAAATCTAATTCGAAAGAGATCTGTACATGGATGTACCATTCATAAAGAAATCATCAATGGTACATGATCGAAGGGTTGAAATATATTGAATTTTTTGATATTTTAGGACGAAGTTTTTAATAAAATTTTCAGTGAATTATTTTATGACAAAAAAAATCAAATTTTAACAAAAATAGTTGAGATATGCTACAAGGTTGTATAATTCGAATCGACCTAATAATATCCATTAGTTATTATAATTTATTTTAATCTTATATTCTAGTAGAAATATTAGAATTTTCAACTGATGATATTTCTAAAGTACAAAAATTTCATTTATCCCGAACCGCTGGATGTTAATGTATGATTAAAGCCATGGACACATTAGAAGACCCCCCTCTCCCTCAATGTAGAGGGACCTCTCCTTGAATAAAGGATGCTGATGGTAGATTAGAAGGTTCATCGATTTCTTCTGGCAAGTCTCCTGCAGCGAGTGGTCGGGTCTTCATATCTGTCTTTAGTTTCGTTGTTTCTAGGACTGACCTCTTTTAAGTGCGGGTGGGAGGTCTTCTAATGTGTCCATGGCTTTAGTCAATGAACATTTCTTCTAATGGAGTCATGAAGAAATTTTCCAGTTTTGATATAAAAAATATTCATTTACTAAAATTTTTTTATTTTCTATGTATTTTACATAGAATGTTCTAATGAGGAACATTTTTTTGCTTGATGGCCCTATTAGGAACAGTGCTTCTAATAAGAACAAATTCAATTACTCGCAAACTACCACTGATTGCTTGATTAATATTCGAGATAATTGTTTGATTTATGTACCATTTGATGGAGCAGACATTTCTGCACTCAAATATGTAAAAATATTCTTTTATGATAAGACATGATCTAATAAAAAAGGAAATATGAACAGCTCCCGAAAAGCTATTCTTATTAGAAGCATCGCCTGTACTCACGAAACGTGTCAATAATATTTTGTTATCGGTCAATAATATTGTCTTATTTTGTATTATGTTTACTGTATTAGGAGCATCGGATTTATCGAGTGCATATTCTTAACTTTTGTTATAATTTTTCCTGAATTTTTTGCATGGAACATATCAATCATCAATAAGATTATATGGCATAGCGAGTGGCTCAATACATTATTATTATTACATGTTTGTTTTTCTTTTCTTATTCATATTTTTGTGACATCAAAAATAAAAGTTCTGATATTTTCTTGAAACAGATACAATATCTAGAACTACAATCTAGAAAAAGTTCAGTTATATGACTAAAATCGTTTAATGTAATCAGTAACTACACTCAAACCCTATACACACTAAGAACATCTGATGATATTCATCTGATTGAGTCTCTCACTATCCAACATCAATTAACTTTTTAATATATTAAAGAAGAAAAAAGATTAACGAAGTTTTCAATTAGAAGTTTTTATTGAAATTATTTTTTATCATTTTCAAGATTATCAAATAGTAAAAATTACAAATATTAATATTAAGTGATACACAATTTATAATAATTGCATAAAACGGTGTGTTTTATTATGTATTTTTGGAGCCTTTGAAATGCAATCTCCACACAGATCATAATAAGTATTCTTATACAGGCATTCATGACACGTAAAACGACGATAGCGATCTTTTTTGCCACAATTCTTACATTTCCAGTGATTTTTGGGTTTTATTTGTACTTGGTATAACCATTGTGGTATTGGTATCACCCATGTCCATTGCTGTACTGGTACAAACGTCACTTGAGCCATTGTTTTTATTAATGTTGATGGTGACTGTTCTATGGTTTATATCAATGAACTAAAATCTGATGTAAACGTTTGAAAAATCGAGCAGATGCTAGTCGTAACAGACTCAATTATACAAGAGATATCTATGTTTTCCAATCGATTGGTACTAAGAATGTGAACTAAAGA